CTGGTTTGGATTTTGTGGTTGGATAAAAACTTGTTCTTGAAATATATTTGTGTTTTTGATTGATGTCATGAGATAAAAATATTCTTTTTTATTTAGAATCGTTGGCGACAATTTGGTGTCTGTTCTCAAGCAAAAAACGAAACAGAAATAGGAGTAAATCCTTCGGTAATTTGGTTTGTTTCGAGTTGACATCGCTCATGAGTCACGCAGTACAATAGACTGTTGGCGACTATTTCGTAATTTTGAATTGTATTCCAATGAGTTCAAAACGACGCACTGACAGATATTTCACTCTCCTAACTTTCACGCTCCACTAAATCTCCCCTTATCCTCCAAAACGATTTTCAGTAGAAATAGGGATTGAATTCATGGCTCATCAGACCACCAGTTCAGCTTACCGTTACTTTTAACCTCATCCTCAACAAAGCGAAAAGCATCAAGTGCTAAAACAAGCATATATATTTTTGATTTATTTAATGGGTTAAATCATGTGTCGTCATTAATCCCATGATAACTGCAATTCCGTGTTTACAGCCAATCATTTCAAAAATTTACGTGACTTCATAGTCACATGATAAATACAATCGTGTGCTTCCAGCCAATCAATTCATGCACTACGCTGTTGCCAACTTTTGCTTTTTTCAGAAACTTTTTTAAAATATATATATTTGTCAACAATAATAACGCACATAGGTAAACAAAAAGTACACTTGAATTAAAAGTTCCCGAATAATATAAGAATTTTTTTGAACTATTCTAGTACTTGAACATTTTTTTCAACCATCAAATTTGAAATTCTATTCAATTTTACAAGTAGAATAACAAGTACAAGTCTAATGTCTGTTTTGAATTCAATGGAGAACACACGTGATTGCATTTATCATGTGACCTTCATGAATTTAGCTCATTAAACTCTTTAAAACTGACCAGTAATTAGTTCAGCACGAGTCACCTGATCCATCCTGCAAGAGGAAAGAGTAAAAATTGCCACGACATTTTGTTTTCACTTGAAGAACCCTTATCATATGGTCTTACATGTTTGGAACATTCTAGAACCCTTCTCCTTTTGGAGTCTTTTTCCAGATACGAAACCAAAAAGATGTCTTCTGGAGCAAGATAATTTGAGTATTGCAAGTGAGAGAGGCGTATAACTCTTCTACTGGGCCGGAACTGTGAATTGAATCTAGGATGGCACTTTCATGGGAAAGGAACCAATAACCTGAAGTGAAGTATTCTTGATGTACGCGATATATCCTTTATAGAAAATGTACCAACACATCCTTATAACTGAACATTTATTGTTACTGTTACTGAAAGACATTCTCTACGAATCAAGGATTAGATATCGAAGAATGAAATAAACACACATTGCCCTTATACATAATTTTTCATGGCAGACCTTTCTTTTGATTGGCAATTGAGATTCAGAGATTCCTAATATTTGCCTATTGGGCTGCAAGTCGTACATGATTTATGAGTTTCTAGGCTTAATTCCGCTAAAAACCATACATTGGCATGTCGGGGAAGTTTGATGAGTGGGATGTGGTCTAAGGTGTCATCTTCATCACTTGACCGAGGCTTGACATCCATGACGAGGTCCATCTTCAATATACTCCCTCTAATATAGCTTCAAAGTGAAACATTAATGAAAAATCAACTCAAATTAACCCCCGAAAATTTTCATGTCAAGTAATGGAAATTATTTTGCTGTTCAAACTTAAATAAATCTTTTCTAAAGAAGTTAACTTATTTGTGTGTTAAGGTTGGGTGCTATGCAGTCGGAGATTTACGAGTCAAGTTATGAATTTGACACTTGATTCTACGAAAATAAGATCTCGAGAGATAACTGCATTCTTAAATCAAAATGAATACGAAATTTCATCAGTGCAATTAATGGGACAATGATGTCATTATAGCACTGGAGGGAGTCATTAATTTCTTGCTCATTGCTAAAAATTTCGAATAATTTATTGCAACACAACAGTTAAAGTCCTATATGAATAAAATAATAGATTTGAAGTTGATAAGCATTTATGAGAATTGATATTTTGTTATTCAGAACAAGCAATGGGGGTAATATGAAAGTTTAAAATGATTTAAAATGGAATTAAAGTCGAAACAGTTGTCTGTTTCAATTTTTGCTGTTCTTCTTTTTCAAACTGGCGTAGCTTAAAAGCTTTAGTTGGAGAGAGGAGGATCTTTTTGGACATCATAGGACTTAGATTTCCTCACTTCCTTCAATATATATATATATATATATGTGTGTGTGTGTGTCGTCAGGTTCTATGAAAACCGATTTTAATACTTTATTCAGAGGAGGGAAAACTCTAGAAGATTATGAAAGACTGAGTATTCAGACAATTTTCTAATATTTTTTTTCCTTACAGATATTTTGGTATAGAAATTGCGCCAATAAGAAAACAATCGCTCAAAAATATTCCAATGTTATCCCGCTTAAGAGAAACTATCATAGCCTAGTGGTCATGAGCTTGTGGTCAACATGTCATGAGTTCGAGTCCTTGTACCAACACTGAAAACATGTGCAGAGGATATTATGATCGTTAACTCTGTAGTAGCTCAAAGTCCTCC